TGCTGAGGGAGCGCCGCACTGTCGGAGGGTCAGTGCTGAGGGAGCGCTGCACTGTCGGAGGGTCAGTGCTGAGGGAGCACCGCATTGTCGGAGGGTCAGTGCTGAGGGAGCGCTGCACTGTCGGAGGGTCAGTACTGAGGGAGTGCCGCATTATCGGAGGTTCAGTACTGAGGGAGTGCCGTGCTGTCGGAGGGTCAGTACAGAGGGAGTGCCGCGCTGTTGGAGGGTCAGTGCTGAGGGAGTGCCGCACTGTCGGAGGGTCAGTGCTGAGGGAGGGCTGCACTGTCGAAGGGTCAGTACTCAGGGAGTGCCATGCTGTTGGAGGGTCAGTGCTGAGGGAGGGCTGCACTGTCGGAGGGTCAGTGCTAAGGGAGCACCGCACTGTCGGAGGGTCAGTGCTGAGGGAGTGCCGCACTGTCGGAGGGTCAGTGCTGAGGGAGGGGGCACTGTCGGAGGGTCAGTGCTGAGGGAGGGGACACTGTCGGAGGGTCAGTGCTGAGGGAGGGGACACTGTCGGAGGGTCAGTGCTGAGGGAGGGGGCACTGTCGGAGGGTCAGTGCTGAGGGAGGGCTGCACTGTCAGAGAGTATTAGCAAAATGACCAATTTAAGGTCATTCATCAGTCAGGCTCACAATGTAATACATTCACACGTGCTGAAAGACACAAATCTTAGTAAGCAGGACACTCTTTTATAGTTTGAAAGGAATTTGTACATCACTTGCACCTTTATCATTGGAAAAAATACACGTCATGGTGACTACCAATCTCAGCTGCATTTCTATGGCAACACTGTGACTATTAGAGTCTACCTGCCTTGTCTGACAAATAAGATCGACAGTTAGCTGCCATACTAACAATGGTCCACGAATCAGCACCTCTTCTCCTGCTGTATCAATTGGTGTCCCTTTTGCAGGGATGCTTCTTGTATCCTCATTCTGATGTGAGCAAGAGCAAAAGCCTCAACTTTGCAGAAACAAATCTCCTTTTAGCAATGTTTAATGTCTGAATGCCTGAGCAATTATTCATTTCCCATTGACCTGAGAAATTTAAAAGCTCTTGCAGCTGAATTCAATTTTAGTGACATCATGTACATCCAATTGGACAGTGTTGCCATGGAGTCAGTTTGGGTCCATGTCTGACAAAGATCATTGTCAGTATCCAACATAAATACATCATCAGTGGTCTGACCCCTAGCCTTCACATCTTGCATATTTCCTGAATGTCAATGAAATGAAACATGCACAACCTTACTTCCACGCCCTGATGGACTACGTCCCACACTAAAATGCACCTTTGAAATGCAGCAACCAAATCAGCTCACATTTTTTCAGTTCCTGGCTGAGAGACCCACTAATGGACTGTACCACAGTCTACCATAAGCCTACCGTACTGCACAATGGAGGCGTTCGGATTCCTGCAGGTCCATGCATTATAAGATTGGTTCATCAGCAACCTCATAAATAGGGCCAAAGCATTTGCCCACTGAAACAAAAACAGGAATTGCTGCAGAAACTCAGCAGGTCTGCAGCATCTGTGGGAAGAAAGCAGAGTTACCATTTTGAGTCTGATCACTCATCATCAGAACAAATTAGTTCATTGAGTGCACTGGATGCTAAAATAGGGGAGACTTGACATCTCGCTGCAGGATCGAGGCTATCCGGATCAGATCATTTCTCACTATGTACCCCACAAACTCAGCATCAGGCCAATGGCCCATAATAGTCCTTGAAAGGAGCCAGTCAGCTTCTACTGAGGTACAACACAGAGTTAGATACAGAGTAAAGCTTCCTCCACACTGTCTTCCTCAAACACTCCCAGGACAGGGACAGCACAGGGTTAGCTATGGAGAGTAAAGTTCCCTTTACACCGTCCCCTTCAAACACTCCCAGGACAGGGACAGCACAGGGTTAGCTATGGAGAGTAAAGTTCCCTTTACACCGTCCCCTTCAAACACTCCCAGGACAGGGACAGCACAGGGTTAGCTACAGAGGAAGGTATCATCTGTACCTCAGACATTTGAGCAACAGGGGAAGAGAGCTCCTTCATGCTTCAACTATCTTGTAGTAACACGAGTGGTGCTTACCACCAACAAGCCATTAAGCTTGAAAATCTGTTCTACCCCATAAGGGGGTAATGTCACATATTAATTTCAGTGCTGGTGTGATACCAGCCCTTACAGCCTAAAATTTTACTCTACATCTTTATTCATTCACAGTACATGGGCATCAGTGGTCAAGTAGCATTTATTGTCCATCCCTAATTGCCCAGAGGGCAGTTAAGAGTCAACCACATTGCTGTGGGTCTGGAGTCACATGTAGGCCAGACCAGGTAAGGATGGCAGTTTCCTTCCCTAAAGGGCATTAGTGAACCAGATGGGTTTTTCCCAACAATCGGCAACGGATTCATGGTCATCATTAGATTCTTAATTCCAGATATTTATTGAATTCAAATTCCACCATCTGCTGTGGCAGGATTCAAACCTGGGTCGTCAGAATGTTATGGGTCTCTGGATTAACAGTCCAGTGATAATACCACTAGGCCATTGCCTCCCCTAAACTTTGTACTGTTCCCGTTCTGGGAGTGTTTGTTGAAGACAGTGTGGAGGAAGCTTTACTCTGTATCTAACCCCCATGCTGTCCCTGTCCTAGGAGTGTTGATGGGGAAAGTGTAGAGGGAACTTTACTCTGTATCTAACCCCGTGCTGTCCCCGTCCTGGGAGTGTTTGATCGGGGAGCAGTGTAGAGGAAGCTTTACTCTGTATCTAACCCTGTGCTGTCCCTGTCCTGGGAGTGTTTGATGGGGAAAGTGTAGAGAGAGCCTTACTCTGTATCTGTCCCTGTGCTGTCCATGTCCTGGGAATGTTTGATGGGGAAAGTGTAGACTGAGCATGATGCAACTGTGTTGTATCAGTCTATACCTTTATTACCTGACAACGTTGTTGTCAAACTTGTTGTAAGATGCCATTGAAAGCAAACCTCCGAAACCAATCCCCAGGGAATAGAATATCTGGGATGCAGCATCATTCCACACCTAGGATAAAAGGTGAAAAAAATTAGTGTGAAAATTCTGCTGTATCACTGGCATGGAACACTTGTCAGGTGGAGGTGCCGGTGTTAGACTGGGGTGGACAAGGTCAGAAATCACACAACACCAGGGTATAGTCCAACAGGTTTATTTGAAAACACAAGCTTTCGGAGCATAGCCCGTTTGTCAGGTGAAGTGAGAAATGGGCACACAGAACACAGAATTTATGAGTAAAAGATCAAAGGGTCACACAACTGATGAGGATGTATTAAACAAACCTAAGATGCTGTTAAATCTTTAATCAGTTAGAAGGTTTTAGTTGAGACTGAGGGTTATTGCTAAAACCTCCGTGACTGGATACTTGTTAGTGGAGACCAGTGCTGGGGGCCAGGTGTCAAGGCACCAGTAACAGGAGGCTATCTCTGGACGGCCAGGAGCTGTGCCCAGATCCCATGCACTCACCACAGTGCACTCCAATCGATGGAAACTGGATCGGAGAGACCAGCCACAGTGCATGAACCCTGTCGCAAACAATATCCCCTCAGTAGTTTACCTTATTGCAAATAAAAACTACCTCAAAACAGAAGACCAATTGGTGAAGGTAGATGTTGTGAAACTTGACAGGATTCAGAAAAGATTTATAAGGATATTGCTGGGGTTGGAGGGTTTGATCTATAGGGAGAGGCTGAATAGGCTGGGGCTATTTTGCCTGGAATGTTGAAGGCTGAGGGGTGACCTGAAAGAGGTTTATAAAATTGTGAGGGGCATGAATAGGGTAAATAGCCAAGGTCTTTTCCCGGGGTGGGGGAGTCCAAAACTAGAGACCATAGATCTAAGGTGAGAGGGGAAAGATTTAAAAGGGACCAAAGGGGTAACTTTTTCATGTAGAGGATGGTGCATGTATAGGTTGTGCTGCCCGAGGAAGTGGTAGAGGCTGGTACAATTACAACATTTAAAAGGCATCTGAATGGGTTAATGAATAAGAAGGGTTTAGAGGGATATGGGCCAAATGCTGGCAAATGGGACTAGTTGGAACAAAAGGTCTGTTTCCTTGCTTTATATCTTTATGGCTCTAAATAGGGGAAGGTAAACAGATAGAATGAAGTAAAAAGGACATGGTGCCGAAACAGTGAAGGGATTAGAGGGGAATGATCAAATTCAGCTCATAGGAACAGACCAAGATGAATAAATGAGGGATAAGACAAGACAAGAAAAACAAAATAACTGGAGTAGTGTTAAAATAAAACAAACAGGAATGTCCCTAGCATTACAGACTTGATGGGCCAAAGGGCCTCTTCTGCACTGTATGATTCTGTGATTAAAGCAGCTTCTCACTAACAAGATCAGTCACTGAGTGTTTCTGATGATAGAGGGTATCTGGAACAAGAGGAGGCTAATGCATGATGAAATATAAATAAATAATTTAGAACAGGAGGAATCCCTTTCCTTGAAGGTTGTGGATTAGATAGTGTTTGAAACAGATATGATGTCAATACAGAATGGTTATGGCACAGAAGGAGGCCATTCAGCCCATCACATCTCTGCAAGAGCATTTCTTGTCTCAGTCGTCCATTTTCCTCAACACCGGGAGCAATTTCTTCCTCAGATTTTAAAAGTAACTGGGTCAACCACAACTCTCAGGCAACCTCCTCCAGATCTAAAACACTCACTGTGTAAAAATGCTTTTCTTTGTTTCACTGTTTGTTCTTTTATCATTCCGTTTAATAAAGCAACACTGAACTTGTTTCCTCAAAGTGCCATGGTGGGATTTGAACTCACATTCTGTGGCTTATTAGCCCAGGCCTCTGGATCATCAATTCAGGAACACAACCAGTACATTACAGCATCTGTACATTGAGATTGGTAGCTTAAGAAATGGTGAAGCAAGGACATATTTGAACAAGGATTAAGGATGCTGCATATCTGGAGGATATCCATCATTGACTGGTTGTCTTTGTGATCAGTTTGTGTACTTCATTCAGTGGGACAGGCCCCCAACACACAATCTCGTTCAAAGGACAATATTTAACTCAATCAAAACCTATGGAGGTGTGAGATTGATAAAATTGAGATGTTGGGGCATAGTTTCATGGTTTAATGATCAGAACCATTGCGTGGTAGGGCCCTGAGTGAAAACAATTGTGTCAATTCACACTCAGGTCAGAATTAGAAATCCTCACTCAAATGGTTCACTCCTGCATTTACTTTCTGAATTCGAAAGGGTTCAGAAAATATTCACAGGGATGTTGCTAGAGTTGGAGGGTTTGAGCTATAGGAAGAGGCTGAATGGGCTGGGGCTATTTTCTCTGGAGCATTGGAGGCTGAGGGGTCACCTTATAGAGGTTTATAAAATGATGAGGGGCAGGAATAGAGTGAATAGCCAAGGTCTTTTCTCCTGGGGTGGGGGAGTCCAAAACTAGAGGGCATAGGTTAATGGCGAGAGGGGAAAGATTTAAAACTGACCTAAGGGGCAACTTTTTCACGCAAAGGGTGGGGCATGTATGGAATGAGCTGCCAGAGGAAGTGGTGGAGGCTGGTACAATTACAACATTTAACAGGCATTTGGATGGGTATATTAATAGGAAGAATTTAGAGAGAAATAGGCCAAATGCTGGCAAATGGGACTAGATTAATTTGTCGGCATGGATGAATTGGACGAAAGGGTCTGTTTCCATGCTGTACAACTGTATGACCCTATGACTCTCAGTGGTAGTGAGTAAGGATGGGTGACAAATGCTCACATCTTGAGAATTAATAAAACAAAGCAAAAATGGATTCTACAGGTTAGCCATCAGGCAATGTCCAGTCTGCATTTTATAAATTTATCATAATAAGTCAAAGAGCTGCAGATGTTGGAAATCTGAAACAGAAATAGAAATTGCTGGAGAACCTCAGCAAGTCAAGCAGCATTTATGGAGAGAGAAATCGAGTTAACGTTTCAAGTCCGGTGAGCATCCTTCAGTTCTAATATCAGCTCTGAAGAAGGGTCACTGGATTTCAAACATTAACTCTGTTTTCTCTCCACAGATTAGATGTACCCTAGAATTCTGTGGGAAGTGAGAGAAGAGATTGCTGGGCCCTTTGCTGAGATATTTGTATCATCAATAGTCATAGGTGAGGTGCCAGAACACTGGAGGCTAATATGGTGCCTCTACTTAAGAAAGTTGGTAAGGAAGAGCCAGGGAAGTATGGATTGGTGAGGCTGACATTGGTGGTGGACAAGTTGTTGGAGGGAATCCTGAATTACAGGATTTACATGTATTTGGAAAGGCAGGGATTGATTAGGGATAGTCAACATGGCTTTGCGCTTGGGAAATCATGTCTCACTAACTTGCTTGAGTTTTTTGAAGAAGTAACGAAGAGGATTGATGAGGGTAGAGCGGTGGATGTGATCTACATGGACTTCAGCAGGCGTTCGACAAGATTCCTCATGGTAACAAGGTAAATCACATGGGACATAGGGAGAACTGACCATTTGGATATAGAACTGGCTCAAAGATGGAAGACAGAGGGTGGTGGTGGAGGGTTGCTTTTCAGACTGGAGGCCTGTGACCAGTGGTGTGCCACAAAGATCGGTGCTGGGTCCACTGCTTTTTGTCAAGTATTTAAATGATTTGGAGGTGAACATAGCAGGTATGGTTAGTAAGTTTGCACATGACACTAAAATTGGAGCTGTGGTGGACAGCGAAGAAGATTACCTCAGAGTATAACGGGATCTTGATCAGATGGGCCAATGGGCCGAGGAATGGCAGATGGAGTTTAATTTAGATAAATGTAAGGTGCTGCATCTTGGAAAGGCAAATTAGGGCAGGACAGATAGACTTATTGGTAAGGTTCTGTGGAGTGTTCCTGAACAAAAAGAGTTGGAGTGCAGATTCATATTACCTTGAAAGTGGGGTAGATTAGAATAGAGAAGAAGGCGTTTGGTATGCTTGCCTTTATTGGTCAGTGCATTGATTATAAGAGTTGGGGGGGTTATGCTGCGGCTGTACAGGACATTGGTTGGGCCACTTTTGGAATACTGTGTGCAATTCTGGTCTCCTTACTATAGAAAGGATGCTGAGAAACTAAAAAATGTTCAGAAAAAATTTACAAGGGTGTTGCCAGGGTTGGAGGGTTTGTGCTTTGGAATAGGCTGAATAGGCTGGGGCTATCTTGCCTGGAGTGTCGGAGGCTGTCCACATCTCAGGAATGAATAGAAAAAATAACTTGTGCCATGTTTTCAGCTGCCTGGGCTCCAAGTTCAGGAATACCATCCTCTCCACATCTTTTCCGTCCTTTGAGACCCTCTTTAATTCAAAACTCTTTGACTGACCTTTGTTCACTTGTCTACTATTGTTTCCTTTCAGTAATGCAGTTACACAAAGTCGTGGTGAGACCACAACTGGAGTATTATGTACAGTACTGGTCACTGTATGTACAGAAGGATATAAATGAATTAGAGGCAGTTCAGAGAGCTTTACCCAGATTAACAACAAAAACAGAAGTTGGTGGAAAAGCTCAGCGGGTCTGGCAGCATCTGTAAAGAAAAAATCAGAGTTAACGTTTTGGGTCCGGTGACCCTTCCTCAGAACTGGACCCGAAATGTTAACTCTGATTATTTTCTTCACAGATGCTGCCAGACCTGCTGAGCTTTTCCGGCAATTTCTGTTTTTGTTCCTGATTTACAGCATCTGCAGTTGATTTGGTTTTTCACCAGTTTAACACCTGGAATGAGTGGGTTGTCTTATGAGGAAAAGTCAGGCAGGCTTGGCTTGTATCCACTGGAGTTTTGAATAGTCGGCAGTGACTTAATTGAAACATCATGAAGAGACTTGATGGGTGGATGTGGAAAGGATGTTTCCTCTTGTGGGAAAATCTAGAACTTGGGGTCATAGTTCAAATATAAGGGGACACCCATTTAAAACAGAGATGAGGAAACACTTATTCTCTCAGAGGGTTGTGAGTGTTTGGAACTCCTGCTGAAAAAAGGTGGCTAAATCTGAGTCTTTGAATATTCTTAACGTAGAAGAAGGCAGATTATTGTTTAGCAGGGAGTGCGAAAAGTTATCAGGGACATGTGGGAATGAGAATTTTACACAAAATCAGACCAGCTATGATCTTATTAAATGGAGGAGCAGGTTCCGGGGCTGAATGGCCGACTCCTGCCCTAGTTCATTTGTGCTTATGTTCCTTATGCGGTTGACTTCCTTATGACAATCCACAAAGGGATATTTTTACTATGTTAAAAGTGCTATCCAAATGAAAGTTGTTATTGTTGTGAGGAGACATTGAGGATTACCACAGTGAGATTTTTTTTGTAAGTCAGTGGTTTTCAGGAGCAGCGGTAGTCAGGAGGGGGTGAGAAAGTTCCTGCCCAGGCCCAGGTACAGACAGAGTCAGAGTAGGAGATATTTTTACACATCAGAGAAAGAGAGAGAGAGTTGAGGAGGAGGCATGTTGAATAGGCTTGAGATCTACTTTGTACCTGAGCACTCCCCAGACGCTTCCAGTTAGTACTGAGGTAGAACTGCACGCCCTGCAGGGAGCCTTTGAGTGTGGCTCCTCGGATTATCAGCACAATCAGGACCAGGTAGGGGAATGTAGCAGTCACGTAAACAATCTGAAAGACACAGAAAGATGGCAGCACATCAGAGCAAACAAACATTGCAGAGTCGAACCTGTACAGTCCTTGTTTGAGGGAGTCTGGCTGCTTTTTTATCCACACAGTTCTTCAGACACTGGGATGGGCCTTTCAGATAATAGAAACAGGATTCAAGTTAGCTCAGGGTGAAGGAGTGCACATCTTGTCATTCTGTGATCAGTAGAGATCTGAGTGGATCCAGTCTACAACAACTTCAAGCCAGTTCCTATTGAATTTGGTCCCATACATAATCCAACTCCCATTGGCAGGAAGATGCCAAGATCACTGATGTAGCATTGGTGGAGTTTTGAAGTTGGTGTGAAGGTAGTTTGACTGAAACAACACCTGCCAGCAGTACAGAGTCTAGGAGTACACAAGGGAAGGATATTGATAAGAAGATTACAGGGTAGAGATAGATGTTGAACGTAAAGTTATTATCCTGGAAAGATATAGAAACTAGAGGCAAGAGTAGGCCAGATGGCCCTTCAAGCCTGCTTGGCTGTTCAATATGATCATGCTTGATCCTCTAACAGAAGGCCATATTCCCATTTTCTCCAATACACGTTGAAGCCTTTCTTGAATATATTCAGTGACTTGGCCTCCACAGCCACCTGTGGTGGAGAATTTCACAGGTTCACTTACCTCTGATCTGAATGAAGAAACCTTTCTTCATCTCAGTCCTAAATGGTCTGCCTGTATCCTGAGTCTGTGTCCCCTGGGTCTAGACTCCCCAACCAGGGAACACACCCTCCCTGCATCTAGTCTGTCCAGCCCTATTGGCATTTTATACGTTTCAATCAGATCCCCTCCCATCCTTCTAAACTCCAGCAAATACAAGCCCAGTCGAATCAATCTCTTCTCATAGACAGTCCTGCCATCTCCGTATCAGCCTTGTGAACCTCTGCTGCACTCACTCTTAGGCAAGTAGGTTCTTTCTTAGGTAAGAAGACCAAAACTATATGCAATACTCCAGGTGTAGTCTCACCAAGGCCCTGTATAACTGCAGTAAGACATTCCTACTTCTGAACTCAAATCCTCTTTCAATGAAGGCCAACATACCATTTGCACTCCGAATTGCTTGCTTCATCTTCATTCACTGGTGCAGAAGAACACCCAGATCCCTTTGTATATCTACACTGCCCAATATATCACCATTTAAAGAGATGGACGAGTATTAGTTGGTGAGTTAATATATGAGGCCGCTGGGCTTTGATGTAAAGGTTAATGGTTAATGGGAGATGAACTGGTGTTGATGGAGGGGTAAAGCAAGTGGAGGGACAGATGTTGATGGAGTGTTAACATACTGGAGAGATGGCTGTTGATAGGAGGGTTAATGTAGTGGAGTCATGAGCGATAGTGGGCAGTTCTCTGTGATCAACTCACCTTGCCTGAGCTGCGAATCCCTTTCAGACAGCACAAGAAGATAATGACCCAGGCAGCCAGAAGGCAAATGGCCAGTTCCCACCGGACAGGGCCTGGGTCATGTAGACCTGAGCTCCTTGACAGTCCCAGGGTACGCTCACTGTAAAACAAGGAACCCGCTGCATCAGATATTTGCAACGAGGCCATCACCAAAACCGAGAACGGCAGAGAAGTAGAATCAGAACATTTACAGCAAATTATAAACCACGGTCATGCACAGTTATACTTAAAATAGAAGCACTCCAGTCCGAGACAAGAATTGTGCTGGACTTGAAATGTTAGCTCATTTATCTCAGATGCTAAGAAACTCAGATACTGATCCATTTCTGCAGCACCTTCTGTTTTTATATCGGATCTCCAGCAACCTCAGTGTTGTTATTTTACTAATGTGCACAGTTGTCACTGGTTCAACATCCTGTGCACTTACTAACGAGGCTGTCATGTAGCTAAACAACAGCAGGAACCTGTGGCTTTAAATGCCCTGTTCCTCTGCTGAAGATTCACTGCAATTCTTATACATGAGAAATTTATGAGATATGCTAAGGTGCTATGTTGTGCAAGTCAGTTTGACCTGCCATCTGTCTAATTAGTGGCAAAAATAGAGTAATAGAGGAGGAAAGAGATCACTTACTTCCAGAAGACTTCACTGGCACTCTGGTGAGTCAAGTTGGCAGTTAAATTCTGTAGGGAATGAGAGAGAGCAGTTCCTGTCAGTCTGTGTGCCAAAGTGCACCTGCAGTGCTAACAGCTCCAGACTCATTAACATTGACCCAGTGACAATGAAAGAACAAATTAATTTTACATCTGAAACTTTGGGTCATTGAATCATTCATTTACCTCATCTCATCTCTAATACTCCTCCTGGTTAAAATTCCGAGTCAGGTTTTCCTGCTAATTAATGAAATCTAACTTAAACACTATGACAGAGGGAGGCCATTGAGCCCATTGAACTTGACCCATCATTCGATTAGATCACGGCTGATCTCCTATCTCAATGTAACTTTCCATTTTATCCTCATATCCCTTCAATGTTGGAATCAATTATTAAGGAAGAGATAGCAGCACATTTGGAAAATCATAATCTAATCAAGCAGAGTCAGCATGGCTTCATGGAAGGGAAACTATTTTACTGCGGTTTTTCAAGGAAGTCTCAACCAGAATGGACAGACTGGAAACAGTAAATGTGTTGTATTTGGACTTCCAGAAGATGTTCGACAGGGTACCTGATAAAAGGTGAAGTCATAAAATAAAAGCCCAGGGTGTTGGAGGTAGTAGATTAGCATGGATAGAGAATTGGCTCATGGGCAGGAAACAGCGAGTGGGGCTAAAGGGTTCTTTTTCAGGTTGGTGACCTGTAACCAGTGGGTTCCAGAGGGATCAGTGCTGAGACCACAACTGCTTGCAACATCTATTAATGACTTGGAGGAAGGAAGTGAATGTACTGTGGCCAGATTTGCAGATGACACAAACATTGGTGGAAAGTCAGGTTGTGAGAGGGATACAAACAGTTTACAGAGGGAGGATGATAGTTTGAGTAACTGGGCAAAAAATGGATAAATGGAGTACCACGTGGGAAAATGTGAAGCTGTTCCTTCTGGAAGGGAGAATAAAAGAATAGGATATAGTTTAAATGTTTAAAAACTGCAGAAAGCTGCAACACAGAGGGAATGGGGTGGGAGGGACTTGTCCATGAAACACAGAAAGCTAGCACACAGGGCAGCAGGTAATCAGGAAGGCTAATGGAATGTTGGCCCTTATTTCATGTAGTTTGGAGTGTAAGAGTAGGGAAGTCTTACTGCAACTGTACAAGATGCTGGGGAGACCACATCTAGAATACTGTGATCAGTTCTGGTCTCTGATTAAAGGAAAGACGTCATTTCATTGGAGGCAGTTCAGACAAAGTTTACGAGGATGATCGCTGGTATTATGAGCAAAGGTTGGGACTGTGCTCACTGGAGTTTAGAAGAATGAGAGGTGATCTCATTGAAACGTATAGTATTCTTAAGGGGCTTGACAATGTTGAGAGGATGTTACACCTTATAGGAGAGTCTAGGACCAGAGGGAATAGTCTTAGAGTAAAGAGACACCAATTTAAGACTGAGGTGAGGAGGAATTTCTTCTCTCATAGGATTGAGAATCTTTAGGACTCCTTGAGACAGACAGATGTGGGGGCAGAGTCCTTGTGTATATAATTAATGCTGAGATAGACAGAATCTTGATCAGTCGGGGCATCGAGAGTTACAGGGAAATGGCAGGAGAGTGGACGTGAGGAATGTTGGATCAGCCATAATCCTATCAAAGGGCAGAGCATGCTCAAGGGGCCAAATGGCCTACTCCTGTTCCTGTTTCTTATGGTCTTATGACAAACTGTAAATGTCTTTAATCCCATTGTTATTGTGAATCTTATACTATACCATTTTTAATTGTGTTGGTGAAATAGCAGCTGAGGGATGACTCAATCTGTGACTTGTTGTGTGGAGATCACCCAGGCTGCAATGCTGCTGCGCGTGGATATCACTGCTCAGGTATGTCTGGTCTTACTGATGCTGAATAAATCACTGTCACCAATAACAGCACCTTTGTCCAAACTCGCACAGTGACCCTGTTGACCTGGCCTCTGTTCTGCACTATGACCCTTCACCCTGCCATGCACTGTGACCCAGGGCTCTGTCCTGCACTCAGATTCTCAGACTGCTACGCACTGTAACCGTTACCATTGACACCACACCCTTTCACACGGTTGTATGTGCTGTGTTGTATGATGTGGGAGGCTCTCTCTATATTCAGAAAATCTCTCCATTCCCAATCATACTGCCTATGGCCTCCATCATGGAATTGATACAGGGGCTCTCCTTACCTGACATAGGTGAATGTTTGCTGGAGCCTCACAGGACCAAGGCAAAGGGTTCTGGAAAGAATTGCCCAGATAGAAGAATGTCCAGGCGATAATCACATTATAGTAAAGAGAGACCAAAGATGCAACAACCAGCATTCCGATTCCAATCCCTGGGGAAGTAGGAAAGAGAATAATGTCAAGCTTCACGGGTTAACAGAATCCTGACAGAATGCCGTTTGTGTAACTGGGGAGGGCCAGGAAATACTCTTCCCATTGGTAGCCTTACAGACATCACGTGTTGGCTAAGGGACAGTTGTGGAGATTGTGAATTTACTCCCCAAAAATCACTCTGGAGCTACAGGTAAATGCAGATTTTCCAAGTCTGAGAAAGACACATTTTAGTATCACCCCTGAAAGCTCCCCGACAGTGTGGCACTCCCTCAGCACTGACCCTCCGACAGTGAGGTGCTCCCTCAGCAGTGACCCTCCGACAGTGCGGGACTCCCTAAGCACTGACCCTCCGACAGTGCAGTGCTCCCTCAGCACTGACCCTCCGACAGTGCAGCACTCCCTCAGCACTGACCCTCCGACAATGCAGCACTCCCTCAGCACTGACCCTCCGACAGTGCGGCACTCCCTCAGCACTAACGCTCTGACAGTGCGGCACTCTCTCAGCACTGACCCTCCGACAGTGCGGCACTCCCTCAGCACTGACCTTCCGACAGTGCGGCGCTCCCTCAGCACTGACCCTCCGACAGTGCGGCGCTCCCTCAGCACTGACCGTCTGACAGTGCAGCGGTCCCTCAGCACTGACCCTCCGACAGTGCGACGCTCCCTCAGTACTGACCCTGTGACAGTGTGGCGCTCCCTCAGTACTGAATCTCTGACAGTGCGGCACTCCCTCAGTACTGACCCTCTGACAGTGTGGCACTCCCTCAGCACTGACCGTCTGACAGTGCAGCTGTGGAAATGTAGCCAGTTTGGAGTGAGGTTCTCTCCTAGAACAGGTTAAACAAGTGGATTAAAACCAGGAGCTGTCAATATACAACACCTTTCAGCAGAGGGCAGCATTTCCACACATGTATTGGTCCAGCTCCTCCATACTGTCCCAGACTGAGCTCCATCAGGAAGAGTGGCAGACCAGTAAATAGCATCATAATGCAGTATGGAATCAGGAAAGCACCTGGAATGGAGACAGAGAGCAGGATTAGAAATACATCTGGAATAGAGAAAGAGGACAGGGTCAGGAACACACCTGGGATAGAGAGAGAGAGAGGACAGGATCAGGAACACAGTTAAAGTGGGGTTCGGAAATCCTTAATGTAATCAAGCGATGTCAACCTGATTTTGTGAAAGGGATATCATCTTTGACTAATTTATTGGAGTTGTTTGAAGTAGTAACAAACAGGGCGGACAAAAGGGAATCGCTCAAGGTTTTCCAGAATTTATTTGATACATCAAAGGTTACCACATAAAATAACAGCACATGGCATTGGGCGCAGCACATTAGTATAGACAGAAGATTGGTTTATTGTGAAGGGAATGGGATTAAAAGTTGGGATGTTTTGCTACAGTTGTGTAGAGCATTGGTGAGACCACATCTGGAGTACTGTGTACAATTTTGGTCGCCTTCCTTAAGAAAAGTTGTTAATGTGTTAGAAGCATTTCAGAGAAAGTTCATTTGACTGATATGTGGGATAAGGGAGAGGCTTATCTGACAAGGTAAAGTTGGATAGACTAGGCCTGTTTAGAAAAATAAGGGGTGATCCTATTGAAGCATATAAGATTCAGAGGGGACTTAACAAGGTGGGTGTTGAAAAGACGATTCCCCTTGTCCTTGTAGGAGAGACTGGAGCTGGTTTAAAATTAAGGGGTCTGCCATTTATCACTGAGACAAAGAGAAATGTTTTTCTCTCAGATGGTCGTTAGAGCTTTGGCTCTCACTTTCCCAGAGAATGGTGGAGGCAGAGTCATTGAATCTTTTAAAGGCAGAGGGAGATAGATTCTTGACTAAAGATGGAATCAAAGGTTACCAGGGTTAGGTAGGAAAGAGGAGCTGAGGTCACAATCCGATTAGCTGGCCAGATCATGGCCGTGATCTTATTAATAGGCGGAACAGGCTGGAAGGGGCTGAATAGCCTACATCAGTTTATAATTTGTATATTTGTATATGAAAGAGTTCCCAAATTGTTTTAAAGCTATACTTTCTCACTAAGTTTTAAAAGTGGACGTTGTTGGACAAAAGCATGGCTGCCGTTGGTTATATGATATGAATTGACTTCAATTTCTGGAAAGTTCCAACAGCAATTATAAAGTCAGACACCATTCTTCTGGAACCTCGCACCCTTGCTTTACGTTGGCATTGCAGTCAAGAAACGCCAAAGAATAAGATGCATGGGATCCACAGTGATTTGGCTGCATGGATTCAGAATTGGTTTGGCCATAGAAGGCAGAGGGTACTGGTGGAAAAGTGTTTTTCAGGCTGGAGGTCCATGACCGGTGGTGTTCCACAGGGATCCATACTGGAACCTCTGCTGTTTGTGATATATATAAATGACTTGGCTGAAAATGCAGAGAGGTGAGTTAATAAGTTTGCAGACAATACAAAGATCAGTGAACAAAAACAAAGTTGCTGGAAAAGTTCAGCTGGTCTGGCAGCATCTGTGAAGGTAAAAACAGAGCTAACATTTCGGGTCCAGCGACCCTTCCTCAGAACTGAGATCGGTGGAGTTGTGGATAGTGTAGAGGGTTGTCAAAGGATACGGCAGAATATAATTTAGTTGCGGATATGGGCAGAGAAATGGCAGTTGTAGTTTAATCCAGGTAACTGTGAGGTACTTTGGGAGATTAAATGTCAAGGAAAACTATACAGTTAATGGCAGGACCCTGAATAGCATTGAGGTACAGAGGGATCATGGAGTTAAAGTCCACAGCTCCCTGAAAGTGGCCACACAAGTGGATAGGGTGGTAAATAAAGTGTATGGCATGCTTGCCTTTATTGGTCAGGGAATTGAGTACAAGAGTCAGGATGTCATGTTTCAGCTTTATAAGACTTTAGTTAGGCCACACTTAAGAGTATTGTGTTCAATTCTGGTCGCCACATTACAGGAAGGACATGGAGGTTTGGAGAGGGTGCAGAAGAGATTTACCAGGATGCTGCCTGGATTAGAGGGTAGGGGCTATAAAGAGAGACTAGAAAAACTTGGGTTGTTTTCTCTGGAGCAGAGAGGCTGATGGGAGATTTGATAGAAGTCTATAAAATTATGAGATGTATAGATAGGGTTGATGCTCAGAATCTTTTTCCCAGCGTTGAAATGTCTCATACTAAGGGGCATGCATTTAAGGTTAGAGTGGGAAAGTTCAAAGGAGACGTGAGGGGCAAGTTTTTTACAGAGAGTGGTAGGTGTCTGGAACATGCTGCCAGGGGATGGTGGTGGAGGCAGATACGATAGGGGCATTTAATGGCCTTTTAGATAAGCACATGAATATGCAAGGAATGGAGGGATATGGACCATTTGGCATCATGTTCAGCACAACACTGTGGGCCGAAGGGCCCATTCTTGTGTGGTACAATTCTATGTTGTATAGTGGATAATATCGCTCTGCAGGAGGTGCTGGTAACAAAGAGTAATTAAAATTCGTTAGGCCTGCAAAGGAGCTAATGGCCCATTATCTACCTCATACAGTGACCGAGACAAAGAAAACTTACCTTGTCCTACATGTGATCGTGGTAATAAATCCAACTATCACCCTAAGCAATGAATCCTTGACTGGGTGGGGAGAATGGCAGGGTGGAGGGGGGGTTGGTTTAGGGAAAATTGAAACTAATTGATAAATTGATGCAAACAACACTAACAGCATAAGCAGGATGGGGGCATGCTGTGGGTTGTCAGTGCCTTGCAGATGTGAGAAGGCAGCTCCATGGGAGGTTGAATGTGCTGGCAAACGACCACAGAGAACAGGCTTAGGAGCAGCATCAGGGTGGCACTAGCTGGCTCCACTTCTAGCAACATCAGCCCTAAAGAAACTCATTTGGCCACAATAACCTGCATTAATCTGCACAAGACAGTTTGGCTTGCTGGAATAAACATTAAAATTGCATTCCTGAACAAGAAAATGCATTAAGAAGCCCCTTAATGAGATTAATGGGCAATTCATTAGCAGCAAGGAATTCCTCCTCATCTCTGCCCCAAAGGGAGACCTCTTAGTTTTGAAAATGTGCCTGTTAGTTCTAGATTCCCCAATGAGTAGAAATATCCTCTTAGCACTGGTCCTGTCTAGCCACTCAGAATGCTATATGTTTTAGTAGAATTGCCTCTTATTCTTTCTGAGTTCTCCCTTGCCCAACCTGCTCAACCTTTTCTCACCAAACAAGCTGTTCGTCACAGGAATCAATCGAGTGAACTTCCTCTAAACTCTAACGCAAGTGTACCCCTCCTTAAATAAGGACACCAGATCTGCAAACAGCACCCCAAGTACGGTCCAGTTGGAGTAAGACATCTCTGTTTTTGTACGTCATCCCCCCTTGCAATGAAGGCCAAACATCCCATTTGCTTTCCTCATTACTTGCTGCATGAGGATGCTATTCCCTCTCTAAACATCGCCCCACCCCCCATCCTCCCCCCACCACATCTCACCGTGTTACACCTAACTGCTTACTCCCCACCCTTTTCCTTTCAGCAATCAAAACAACTCAGAATTCTAACATGATCTTCAGGACAACATTCATGGATTCCTGCTCACACTGGGTCCTGGCATCTCCAAGATCAGGAATACAGCAGGATTTGCACTAGATAAATATTCAAATCTGTTTGCTGCTTTTCTATATTACCCTCATTCTGAAAACGCTGCCATCTGTTCAACCACAACAATTCACATTTTCAAAGCACCATCAAAGTTAATAAAACCCCTTCCAGCGCTTCTCAGGAGTGCTGGAAAATATTTGAGACTGGGCCATCTGAAGACATATCTGGACAGACATCTAAAAGATTGATCAAAGAGGTAAGTTTTAAGGGTTGTCTTAAAACAGGAGATAGGGGTGGAGAGGTGTCAGGGGGGATTTCCAGAGCCTGGGGCTCATGCAGCTGAAGGTGAGGCTAGTACATTGCTCAAAAGACCAGAGATAGAGAACTGGAGTGTTGAGATAGAGAATTGTCTTTCTTATTCACTCGTGGGTCATGGGTGTTGCTGGCTGGTCAGCATTTCTTGCCTGTCCCTAGATGCCCTTGAGAAGGTGGTGGTGAGCTGCCGACTTGAACCACTAGAGGCCATGTGCCCACAATGCCGTTTGATTTTGACTGAGTAACACTGAAGGAATGGTGATATATTTCCAAGTCAGGATAGTAAGTAGCTTGGAGAACTTGCAAGGGGTGGTGTTCCCATGTATCTGCTGTCCTTGTCCTTCCAGATGGAATGATGACCAAGAGGCCAGAGTTAGAGAGCCTAAAGGATGGTGAAACTGGAGGAGACTAGTGATAGGGCAAGACCAAGTAGGGAATGAAAGAGTGTACAGAAAGTTTAAAATTGATGAAGTTTTTGACTGGGAGTCAAGACCAGGCATCAACCACTGAGGTGAACACAGATGACGTGATAAGTGTTAAGACAGTAGCAGCAGAGTTTTGAAAGACATCAAGTTTACAGAAAATACGATTTGGACACAGGATGTCAGGAATGTGTTGGAATAGTCAAGTCTAGAGTGAGTGAAGGTGCAAATGATGATATCAGTAGTGGATGAGCCAAGACAGAGATGCAGACAAGTTATGCAGGAGGAAACACACGGTGTTAGTGATGGCACAAACATAGAAACATAGAAGATAGGAGCAGGAGGAGGCCATTTGGCCCTTCAAGCTTGCTCCACCATTCTTCATAATCATGGCTAATCGTCCAACTCAATGGCCTAATCCTGCTTTCTCCCGATAACCATTGACCCATTCACCTCAACTGCTATATCTAGTCACCTCCTGAATACATTCAATGTATTGGCATCAACTACTTCCTGTGGTAATAAATTCTACAGGTTCACTACTCTTTGGGTGAAGAAATGTCTCCTCATCTCCGTCCTAACTAGTCGATCCTGAATCTTCAAACTATGACCCCTGGTTCTGGACACACCCACCATCAGGAACATCCTCCCTGTATCTACCCTGTCCAGTCCTGTTAAAATTTTATAAGTGTCTATGAGATCCCTCCTCATTTGTCTGACTTCTAGCGAAAACAATTCCAACCTGGTCAATCTCTCCTCATATGTCAGACCCGCCATCCCCACATCAAATTGGTAAACCATCACTGCACTCCTTCGAGAGCAAGATCATCCTTCCTCAGAAAAGTAAGATCAAAATTGCACACAATATTCCAGGTGTGATCTCACCAAGGCCCTATACAACTGCAACAACACATTCCTCCTCCTGTACTTGAAATCTCTCACAATGAAGGCCAACATACCATTTACCTTCTTCTTTAACACCTGCTGCACCTGCATGCTTACCTTCAGGTGAATGGTGTACAAGGACACCCAGGTCCCGTTCCACACTCCCCTCTCCCAATTTACAGCATTCAGGTAGTAATCTGCCTTCTTGTTTTTGCTTCTGAAGTGAATAACTTCACATTTATCCAAATTATACAGCATCTACCATTGATTTGCCCACTCACCCAACATCTCCAGATCATGCTGAAGGATCTCTGCATCCTCGTCACAGTTCACCCTCCCACTCAACTTGGTATCATCTGGAAACTTGGAGATGTTACATTTTGTTCCCTCATCCAAATCATAACTATATTTGCGAATAGCTGGGGTCCCAGCACTGATCCCTGTGGCACCCCACTAGTTACCGCCTGCCAATTTGAAAAGGAGCCATTAATTTCTTCTCTTTGTTTCCTCTCTGCCAACCAGTTTTCTATCCATCTCAACATACTTCCCCCAATTCCATGTGCTTTAATCTTGCACATTAATCTTTTATGTGGGACTTTGTCAAATGCTTTCTGAAAGTCCAAATATACTACATTGACGGGCTTCCCCTTGTCAACTTTACTAGTTACATCTTCACAGAATTCCAACAGATTTGTCAAGCATGATTTCTCCTTCATAAATCCATGCTGACCATGTCTGATCCTGCCACTGCTTTCTAAATGTGCTGCTATAAAATCCTTGACAATGAATTCAAGATTTTTCTCCACTACTGATGTAGGCTCACCGGTCTATAATTCCCTGGCTTCTCTCTACCTCCCTTTTTGAATATTGGAGTGATATTAGCCACCCTACAATCTGCAGGGACTGTTCAAGAATCTAAAAAATCCTGGAAGATGACCACCAATGCATCCACTATTTCCAGAGCTACTTCCTTAAGTACTCTGGGATGCGAATTATCAGGCCCTGGAATTTATTGGTCTTCATTCCAAACAATTTTCCCAGCACCATTTCTCTACTAATATTGAAATCCCTCAGTTCTTCCCTCTCACTAGATCTTGCAATCTCCAAAAATTCTGGTACATGAAGTCAAAAGCTCTTTCTGATGCTGTTGCCAGGGAGATGGATGGAGTTGGTCACTTGATAATGGAGTTTGGAGTGAGGAATTGAAAACAATGGCATCAGTCTTCTAGATATTTAATTGGAGGAAATTTCTGCTCATCTGGCACTGCTGTGAATTGTGCTGAGGCTACCAGAAGCAGGAACTGGGCTTTACGAGCAGGACAAATTAAAACTACAATAGGACGAAACCACAGATCAACAGAAGTAGGAACTGGTCTTGGAAACATCTGGAGGTGATGGCAACAGAAGCATGTGAGGATATGTCAGCTGACAATGAGTGAGCATTAGGGGCGGATCTTGGAAACAGGATTTAACCACCATCCAAAATGTCAATCGGTAGTGAGAACCTAGGTCAACCACTTCTGGAAACAACCCTGACCCAGAAGTGCAGCAAAGCAGCAGAATCTCCAAAGACCAGATTGATCATCTCGTGTGTTAATGGGTGATATTTTGTCCAAGTTGTAAGCGCTTGTATGTGTTTGAATAAATTAGAACTTAGTCTTGTATCAGTCTGTGTGAGTGAGTGCCATTTGACAGGCACGACACATATCACTTCCATCATGGCTCAACCTTCTAAGCTCCACGTAACAGAAGCTGAGTCTGTGAGATCTCTTCTCATAACTTAACCCTTTCATTGCAAGGATCATTCTGGTGAATCCATGCTGGGGCTAATACCTCTTTCCAGAAGTGCCACATCTGGTTTTTACACATTGCTGCAGGTGATATTTAACCAAGACTAGGTACAAATGGTACAACACATTCATTTTTGTATTTATAGAATCATACAGTGCAGAAGCGACCCTTCAGCCCATCAAGTCGTCTGCATGGACTTCAGTAAAGCATTTGATAAGTTCCCTCATGCCAGACTGGTACAAAAGATGAAGTCACATAGTATCAGAGGTGAGCTGGCAAGATGGATACAGAACTGGCTTAGTCAAAGGAGACAGAGGGTAGCAGTGGAAGGATGCTTTTCAGAATGGAGGTTTGTGACTAGTGGTGTTCCACAGCCATCAGTGCTGGGATCTCTGCTGTTCGTAGTCTACATAAATGATTTGGAGGAAAACATGGCTGGTCTAATTATTAAGTTTGCAGACGATACGAAGATGAGTGGAGTTGCAGATGGTGAGGAGGATTGTCAGAGGATACAGCAGGATATAGATCAGTTGGAGGCATGGGCAGAAAAATGGCAGATGGAGTTTAATCCAGACAAATGTGAGGTGATGCATTTTGGAAGGTCAAGTACAGGTGGAAATTATACAAGGAATAGCAGAACCCTTAGAAGTATTCATATGCAGAGGGATCTGGGTGTGCAGGTCCACAGATCACTAAAGGTGGCAGCGCAGGTAGATAAGGTAGTAAAAAAAGGCTTATGGCATGCTTGCCTTCATTGCAAGGGGCATTAAATATAAGGATAGGCAAGTTATGCTGCAGCTTTATAGAACTTTAGTTCGGCCACACTTGGAATATTGTGTATAGTTCTGGTTACCACACTACCAGAAGGATGTGGAAGCTTTGGAGAGGGTACAGAAAAGGTTTACCAGGATGCTGCCTAGTATGGGAGATTTTAGCTATGAAGAAAGGTTAGATAGACTGCATTTGTATTCACTAGAAAGCAGGAGGTTGAGGGGTGACCTGATAGAAGTTTATAAGCAGTTTTGGGCCCCATATCTCAGGAAAGATGTACTGGCCCTGGAGCGGATTCAGAGGAGGTTCTCGAGAATGGTCCCAGGAATGGAAAGCTTAACATATGAGGAACGTTTGAGGACTCTGGGACTATACTCATTGGAGTTTAGAAGGATGAGGGGGGATCTAATTGAAACTTACAGAATACTGAATGGGCTGGACAGGGTGGATGTTGAGAAGATCCTTCCACTGGTAGGAGAAACCGGGACCCAAGGGCACAGCCTTAGAGTAAAGGGAAGACCTTTTAGAACGGAAATAAGAAGGAACTTCTTCTTCCAGAGAGTGGTGAATCTATGGAATTCACTGCCACAGAAGGCTGTGGAGGCCAGGTCATTGAGTACATTTAAGACTGAGATAGATAGGTTCTTGATTATCAAGGGGACCAAGGGTTACGGGGAGAAAGCAGCAGAATGGGGTTGAGAAACGTATCAGCCATGATTGAATGGCGGAGCAGACACGATGGGCCGAATGGTCTAATTTCTGCTCCTATGTCTTATGGTCTTACAAGATTGTGAATGGCATGGATAGAGTGGGAAGTATGAGGCTTTTTCCCAGGGTAGAGGGGTCAATTACTAGGGGACACGGGTTCCAGGTGTGAGAGGGGAAGTTTAAAAGAGATGTGTGAGGCAAGTTTTTCACACAAAGGATGGTGAGTGCCTGGGACGTGCTGCCAGAGGAGGTGGTGGAAGCAGACACAACAGCAGCATTCAGGAAGCACCTGGATGAATACATGAATAGGAAGGGAATAGAGGGATACGGATCCTGTAAGTGAAGACAGTTTTAGTATGAAAGGGCAAAATGTGTCAGTGCAAACTTGGACGGCCGAAAGGCCTGTTCCTGTGCTGTATTGTTCTTTATTCGTTGAGTCTGAACTGCATAGTCCAGACCCAACAGCATGAAGGGGATGGGACAGTGTGAGGTTTGGCTGTAGCCCAATGGGGAGTACTGCTGAGACACTGAGCAGAAAGGAGTCGAAACAGTGAAAGATGTCGGCCACTATCATTCAGATGGAATGCTGCTTCCTACCTCCTCCATTGCGATAGCAGAGATAGGGGAACCTCCAGACATTACCCAGTCCCACGCAGTATCCAATACAGGACAGCAAGAACTCATGCTTCCCACCCCAGGTGCCTCGGGAAGGCAGTGCCTCAGGTGCAGGCGCTGTGGTCTCGGATGGGGGTTGGGGGTCAACAGCTTCCTGGGTCCTGACATTGTTCTCCAAGCTCCCGCAGTTTAGAGTCACACTGGCCTGTACAGGAGAAACAGATCGATGGTTGTTAGCAATGTAGGCATAGTCTAAGATTTTACACAGAATTGTTTAAAATGTATAACGCAGACACAGACCATTTGGCCCAGCCAGCTCATGTTGGTGTTTATCCTACATTCAGCCCTCCTCCCATTCTTCATTACCTAATTCCACAGACAATGGAGTTCAGCATTCAGCCCATCGAACTTGCTCTGCCATTTAATGAGATTGTGGATGATCTGAATCTGCTCAACTCTGCTTTTCCCTCTTTTCCCGTAACCCTCAATTCCATCACTGATTAAAAAGTTGTCAATTTCAGCCTTGAATATATTTAATAACCCAGGTTCCACAGCGTTCTGCAGTAAAGAATTCCACAGATACACTACCTTCTGAGAGGACATATTCCTCTACATTTATGTATTAACTGGGCCACCTCTTAGTCTGAGATTATGCCCTTTGGCCCTATATTCTCCCATAGGGGAAGCATCTACCATGTCATGCTCCCTAAGAATCTTACACATTTCAATAAGGTCACCTCTCATGCTTCTAAAAGCCAATGAATACGAAATGAATGTACTGAACCTCTCCTTATAATCAAATCCATCCATACCCAGGATCAGTCAGGTGAACTGTTTTTGGATTGTCTACAAGGCTGGTATATCTTTCCTTATATAAGGGGACTGTAACTGTTCACAGTATTTCAGTTGTGGTCTGACTGTCTTTGCATAGTTTTAGCAAAACCTCCCTACTTTTATACTCTCTTCCCTTTGAAATAAAGACCAACATTCCATTGCCTTTTCTGCTGAAGTTGGATGATGGCTTTTTGTGACCATGGATGAGGACTTCCGAATTCCTTTGTGCTGTAGCTTTCTGCAGTCTATCTCCATTTAAATAATATTCAGCTCCTGCTAAAGTGCTCACATTTCTACACATTTTATTCTATCTGCCAAGTTTTGCCACTCACCTAACCTGTCTATCAGCTGGATTTCTCACTGTCATAGAATTGTGCTGTATAAATATCACACAGTTGATTGGAGGACAAAAATGTGGTGAAAAACAACAGAAAGCTAAAGCTGACGTCAAAGTTAATTAAAAGCGAGAGATAAGCCTCCTTTCAAGGAGACACAAGCAAACCTTAATGAGTTAACTGATTAAACTGACTGGAATAGATGACACGTTTGTGATGTTTCCAAGAGGTCAACCAATCAATTCCTTCAGACTGGATGCATAGCTTCTTTGTAAGAAAAGAGTATGGAGCAAGCTTGCCTCACAGCGCAGCTAGCTAGCTTGAGAATGAGGTTGTTTGACCAACGGCTGGGACAGAGCAGGCTGATCACCTCTCCAGGTTTGATCTTCAGGTACATCCATGTAAAAGGTTTCACTGGTGATTGTAAGCATTGTATAGGTAAAACCTTCGCAGTAATTTTCGGCGTGTACTTTGCTTCAACAAAGAACATTGGGTATATTCCGTTGTTTGAACTGCCTCAGATGGGAATAAAAATCTGCATTGGCCGATAGTTGCCTGTTATTTCATCACCCTCCCTTTTTGAATAAGGGTGTAACAATTGCAGTTTACTAACCCTCTGGAAATTTTCCAGAGTTTAAGGATTTCTGGAAGATTGCTACAGTGCATCCATTATCTCTATCGCTACTTCCTTTAATATCCTAGGACCTCAAACATATTGGTCTTTAGTTTCAAAAACAAATTTGCTGGAAAAGCTCAGCAGGTCTGGCAGCGTCTGTGAAGGAAAAAACAGAGTTAACGTTTCGGGTCCGGTGACCCTTCCTCAGAACTGATGGTGGCTGGGAAAATGTCAGTTTATATGGAGAAAATAGGGAGGTGGGTGGGGTAGGGAGTAAACGATAGGATAGAGCCCAAAGAGAGAGAGAGACAAAGGAGTTGCTAACGATCAGGCTGGGAGGGTGAATGGTTGTTAATGGGGCTGTTAGTGACTAACAACAGGGGGTGTGTAATGGCAGGCTATGTGGTAACAAGGCCTGGTGGGTGGGGTAGGGGCCTGGGACACTGTTCCTGATTTACAGCATCCACAATTCTTTCAGTTTTTATTTGGTCTTTAGTTTGCTTAGTACATTTTCCTTAGTGATAGTTATTGTGTTTTTTTCCTCCCTCCATTTGTTGGTTGATTATTTAGCATTTTTGTAACTTTATCCACTGTTGTCGTGTTCACTTATAATACATTTATACTGACAACAATACAGAATCTTATGGATTAGTGTGTCCAATTAAATGCTGGCTGTCATCTCAATGGGGTTGGAACACAGCACCATGGTAGGTGGAGCAGTAGAAACTCTGCTACATCTGGAGTAACAACGGTCAGTTCTGGGTCCTGAGCTCAGGACGGAGATATTAGCCTAGGTTCAGAGTGCAATGCAGGTTCACCAAAATGTTACTGGGATAAAGGTTTTAAATTACAAGGCTCAGGTTAAAATTACAGCTGGTCCCTTCCCCCAAAATGCTGCTGAGGCTGAGCACCAATTGAAAATTTCACAATTGACATTGATAGCTTGTTATTAGACAAGAGTATTAAAGGTTTCTGAATGAAGTAAAGATGAAGTTAAGGTGTCAATCAGTTCTGATTTAAGTGACTGGCTGAACAAGCTGTTCCTGCATTACACAGGAGGAGATCCATTTGTCTCATTGTGCCTGTTCCATCTCTTTAAAAGAGCTCCCAATTATCTCCAATCCCTGCTTGTTCTCCAATTCCCTGCAACTTTATGCCTTCAATTATTTATCCTATTGAATCTGATTCCACCACCCTTTCAGAAAATGCATTCTAGATCACAACACACTGTACAAAAAAAACCTTCTTGTTTGGTTCTTTTGAAAGTTATTTTAAACCTAGGAACTCTGATAACAGCACTTCCACCACTAGAAACTCTTTCTGTCAGCCCACTCTATCAAAGCTCCTCTCAATTTTGACCAGTTCCACCAAAGTTCCCTTTAAACGTACTCCAACTATCTGTCTCAACTCCAGTACTGACTGATAGTGAGTAACCTGTTCTAACTGCTCTCCGGGTAATACCCTCAGGACATCCTCAAACCTATATTAGTCGATAAATTACTGACAAAATGCTATTCATATTATTATTTAGTAAATAGATTAGGTTTGAAAATTGCTCAATGAGCAGGAAACAGAGGGTATGGTCACTTTCAGGTTGAGGAGAGGTAACAAGGATGGGTGAGATGGGTCAATGGGCAAAAAGTTGCTGAATGGAATTGAATGTGGAGAAATGTGAAGTTGTTCATTTTGAAAGGGAGAACAGAAGAACAGAATATTACTTAAATAGTTAAAAACTGCAGAAAGCTGCAATATAAAGGAACTCGGGGACACTTGAGCACTGAACACAGAAAACTAGCACACAGGGGCAGCAGGTAATCAGGGAGGTTAATGGAATGTTGGTCCTTATTTCAAAAGGGGGTTGGAGTATAAGAGTAGGGAAGTTGAAATAACCGCACAGAGACTGGTGTCCCATCACCAAGTCACGTTTTATTTACTTGTGCACATTACACTGGCTGTAGCCAGCCAGCTCAGAGTCAGTCTCTGAACTGAGGAGATTCTGAATCTCCTGTTTCTATTGGTCAGCCAGGGGTCCCTGATTGGTCCAGGTTAACAATCCCAATTAAGGATCTCACAGTCAATGGATCCACCTGGTTCCAATCACTACAGTAGACTTACTGAAATTGTACAAGGTGCTGATGAGACCATATCTGATGTACTATGAGCAAAGGGTAAACAGGGACTCTACTCACTGGAGTTTAGAAGAATGAAAGGTGATCTTATTGAAACATCTGGGATTCTTAAGGGACTTGACAGGGTAAAAGCTGAGAGGATGTTTCCTCTCATGGGAGAGTCTAGGATCAGAGGGTATAATCTCAGAATAAAGGGGCACCAATTTAACGCAGATGAGGAGGAATTTCTTCTCTCAGAGGGTAGAGTCTTTAGGAACAAAAACAAAGTTGCTGGAAAAGCTCAGCAGGTCTGGCAACATCTGTGAAGGAAAAAACAGAGCTAACGTTTCGGGGCCAGTGACCCCCCCTTAGAAGGGTCTTTAGAATCTTTAGAGTCTTTAGAATATCTTGCCACTGACAGCTATGTATGTGTTTCACAGAGAGCTTCTTGTCAATTAAAAGTACTTGTGTATATTTAAGCTGGAAATAGATAGTTTCTTGATCGATAGGGGAATTGAGGGTTATGAGCATAGAACATAGAACAGTACAGGCTCTTCGGCCTACGATGTTGTGTCAACCTATTATCCTACTAAGGTCAATCTACCCTGCATACCCTACATTATACTATCCTCCATGTGACTATCCAAGAGTTGTTTAAAAATCTCTGAAGTATCTGACTCCACTACCACTGCCGGCAGCGCATTCCACACACCCACCACTCTCTGTGTGAAGAACCTTCCTCTGACATCTTCCCTATACAGTCCTCCAATCACCTTAAAATTATGTCCCCTCTTAACAGTCATTTCCGCCCTGGGAAAAAGTCTCTGGCTATCCACTCTATCTATGCCTCTCATCATCTTGTACACCTCTATCAAGTCACCTCTCATCCTTCTTCGCTCTAATGTAAAAAGCCCTAGCTCCCTCAACCTTTCCTCATAAGACCTGCCCTCCAGTCCAGGCAGCATCCTGGTAAATCTCCTCTGCACCCTCTCTAAAGCTTCCACATCTTTCCTGTAATGAGGTGACCAGAACTGAACACAATATTCCAAGTGTGGTCTAACCAGAGTTTTATAGAGCTGCAGCATAACCTCGCGGCTCTTAAACTCAATTCCCTTGCCAATGAAAGCCAACACACCATACGCCTTCTTTACAAACTTATCAACTTGGGTTGCAACTTTGAGGGATTTATGGAAGTGGACCCCAAGATCCCTCTGTTCCTCCACACTGCTGAGAATCCTGCCATTAACCGTGTATTCTGCATTCAAATTTGACCTTCCAAAATGAATCACTTCACACTTTTCTGGGTTGATTT